AACAACAACAACAACATCAATAACAACAACCAACAACAACAACCACCACCACCAGTAACAACAATAACAACCAACGACAATAACAACCACCTTCACCAGCAACAGCAACAACAACATCAATAACAACCATCAACAACAACAACCACCTTCACCAGCAACAACAATAACAATAACAACCAACAACAAAGACAACAACAACAATAATAACAACCTGGTCGAGGAATGAGAGACTCAAAAAGGTTCCCAAAATGCTGTCCGCATCATTCCCAAAGCATTGATTTTTGATAATATCGAGTGGCCTAGAAGCATTTATCATGAAGAGGTTATTAACACTGTAAATTCTATTCCTGTGCTGATGTGTTTTTCATCTCAATCTTCGTTGATTCCAGTTTTGGTCCAATTTGACTTACTGCTCGTAACTTACAGCAACACCTGATCTTTCGGCAAAAGATTTTTTTGGCATCTCTAAAGAAAGCGGTGTATATGATAGGGTTAAGACAACTTGAGGTGCTGGCCATGAAGATAGCAAACAAACACACTTCTCTTGGTACGAATAAAACGCCTTGGAAAGCAATGATGAACACAACTACAACCAAAGGTGTCCAGCACAAAACAAAGCTAAAAACTATAGCCCCAACAAGTTTATTAAGGCGTATCTCTTCAGTAGGAACCTGTCTCATGCTCATGGCAGCTTTGTGTGCTTGTACGAACCGCCACACTTTTAGATAGCAAAACAAAATAATGTTGAAGGGGATGATGGAGAGAAAGATTACCATCAGAGCTGCAAACGTTGTATCGAGAGCGTAATAGTCGAAAGTACAGATCGCAAATGCTGGCACAAACGCAAAGGAACTTCCTTTTAGAAGATAGATGACGGGTCCCATGATAGCCAATACCCATGCGAAGATAATACTTTTGATTATAAAGCCTTTAGTGTATAGTCGCTTGTGGAATGGCGTTCGGAGCATTTTCGTATATCGATGGAGTGCTGCCAGAGTCATGGTCAAGATTGAAGCCTCACAGCTCCAAACAGCGACAACCCCTTGAATCGTACACCATGCAGAACCAAAATCCCAGTATCCTTTGAATAAAGCAAGAACTGAGAATGGCATGGCTACAGCAGAAAGGATAATGTCAGCCACAGCAAGGGATAAGCTGTAAACGTTAAAGGCATTTGCTGTTTCTTTGTGTTGTACGAAGATAACACAAACGACAAGATTGCACAATAAATCAACAATAAGAATGAAGAGTCCAACTGAACCCTCGAAGATTGCGATGGAATCACTTCTATGGAATAATCGTAAGGCATCAAAAAGCGACTCAGAGTTGCCAGTCTTGTTTGTCATGTTTTAACTTGTACTTTTAAAGGAACTCTTCTGTGAAAAATCGCTCAAATTCTTAGCTCCTTTGGCTATCAAAAATTAAAAATCGTATTCTTTGACATTGAAGAGGAAGATGATTGATAGCGTCTGAGAATAACATTTAAAAATGAAGAAGATGTATACTCAGAACTCTCACCCATCTACATTGTTGAAAATTAAAAGAAATTGTTATCGCATTCTTCACACTTAGGTTGAATTATTCGCTGTCAGCCAGAAGTTCTACAGTATTAAAGAGAGTATTGCACGTTAGTCACTTTATCCACTTATATTAGTGTGCCATGGACTGACCAAGATGTCTAGGAACTGCGACTGTGGATAACTGAAATGACTTACTTGAAGTAATGCAAAACAGTACTGTTCACAAGTAGCACCTGTCTTTAGCAAACTGTTTAAAATATGCAGGCAATTTCCGTCAGAGACATAGCAAGTTTTGCTCAATTTACAAAGCATGTATTCAATAACGAACGCCAACCAATTGGAATTTTTCTTCTACAAATAAAAGATTTGTCACAGAGTAGGCCATAGATATTCCTCATAGAAGTTCAATCATCCAACTGATTTCATTATGGCAAAAACGAAACTTTTTGTTTAGATAGATTCCGAGTCTATTCAAAATAAAATGGACAGTGTTTAACAAGTGTTGCAGGTAAATATTGGCGTTGGATTTGATGACCAATGTTGTACTGCTAGGTACTATGGTTTCGTCCGATGATATAAAACCAAGTATTAATGAAACTGTTAAGTCACCCAATTCAATGTCACCTTGCACGTTAAATGCACAGTGAGCCGAAAAAATAAGTAGAATTTCTAATTACTGTGCATCGACAGGTTACTGAGGGATGTTCATTGTAATTTCATTGATGTTAAATTTAGGCGATTTTTTAATTATTCTACTGAAATACAAATATCAACCGAGTTTGACTAAGTCTTACAAAAGATTTTTCAGCTTTTCTTTCGGCTTTTTTCCTAGTGGCTAGAATTCTAAAGACTTTTCATTGATGTCCCAGCTGCAGAGTGCTTTAGGATGCATGCTGTCCAATAGACTTTTCTAAAACTAATTTTTAAAAGGAAATTTTAAATATCTGGTGTTTCTGAGCCCTTATTGCATTATTCATGTTTGTCTTCTCGGGTTTATGTCTTTGTGATCTGAGTTTGCTCTTTTCAACCTTTCGGCGGATCTTGGTCTGTCTTCTTCAGAGTTTGTATGCCAAAAGCGAAGTAAATTAAGTCTTGGGGACAGCTGGACAGTACTCCCACGTACTTTAAAGAAAGTACTTTGAATATGAGTAGTACTCGGCTTATTATACCGAATAAAAATATCATGTCGAATAAAGTGATACAATTACGTCGTTCGAATCAAATAGTATGACACAAATTCTAATCCGATAAGAAAATGATTATCAAACTCGGCTAGCTTTTGGCAAATTATCATGAAGTCCCGTTTTTATTCTGCACATGCTCATACCTTGTTGTAGACAACGAATTGCCTGAACTGCGAATAATCAGGCCGTGTTTTGAGCTGACCACAGTTGGCACCACAGGAATCCCTAGCGCAAAGTTTCCTTACTTACGAACAAACAGACTGAAGCCACAAAAGTGTTCCACTTAAATTGTACATGCTAATAGAGTTTTAAAATAGTCTAGAATAGCCGAAAAGAAATTTTCAAGCCAAAACAACGCAGAGCAACGACTTTCAAAATAACATTATCGCTTTCTTAGCCTTTCATTTAAGATTTCAATCCGCAAGAATTGTCTGAATGACATCTTCGTTTTCAATTAGATTGACAAATAAAAAGGATTCGGCGTCTAAAAATTCGTGCTCAATTCAGTATTTGAAACTCCACGGACTTTCACTGGATCACATGTATATTTTACATAAAATCGACACCACCTCTGGGCAACAGAGAACTGGAAAAAGCATCGGAGTAGTAAGTCTGTTTCCAGTATTTTATTCTTAACTAGTTTTGTTCATCTTTTGTCCTGGTAAAATGCATGCAAGTATGTCAAATATGTACAGTGTTCGAATTACATATTTACATTAATTTACCAAAACCTATTCTATCGTACAATGACTGACTCGAACTGAATGAAGTCAAGAATATAGCTGACAATTTCAATAGATTCAATTTAAATGAAATATTGTAAAGTATGCTTGAGCTTCTTGTCAGGATAGGATCGTCCACMGCCTTGCATCATTGTGGCCACAGGATGCAGAAGACTCGAAACAGAATTTAAACGTCTGTAGTTAATATCGCCTCTCTGCACTCAATTCTGTGTGCGATACGTCGTCTAGGTTTGAGAACTTTGTCAGGGTGGAAGTCACAGCAAAGCGCAGCCTTACATCAATGTAGTAGCAGGTAGGCCAGTGCCCATGCGCAGTCTCAAGTGCTGATCTTGTACCTGCTGTATTACTATTCAGTATCCTCATGTCTATAAAATTTGGATCGAGTGGTTCAGGTATGGGCTAACCTGGATAAAATCTTATATCAAGCTTAGAGTAGCTTGAAGGGAAGACATGCAGTCCTGGTTTAACCTCCGTTTACAATGTACATTGTAGACCTACTTCCATGCAGTTCTTTACAACATGGACCTTTTATTCAGTGAGCAAATCCATTCCGTGAAGACATGTATGCAGTCCTGGTTTAGTCTC